AATGAGCCTGACCCTGCCCGCACCTGCCGCGGCGCTGCGGACCCGCCTTCTGTGGATTCGCAAGCGGGACCTGCACCCGCGAGGAACCATGCCGCGCTCCTTCCTGGTGAAAACGCACTCCAGCCACAGGGTCCCCAACTACGGGGAGCTGGAGACTCAGAGAGGTAGGGGCTGCCGGGCTCCCCAGCCCCTGCGCAGGGCTCAGGCTCTCGCGGGGCAGGAGGGGGAGGCCCCTGGGAGCGGGTGACATCTGTCCCAGGTAAGGAGGAGAGGCGGTAGCTCACCAGCAAGGCTGGAGGGAGGTAGGCTGTCGAGTCCAGCGGAGCGACTAGAGCTTCTCTCCCCACTTAGAGATGTTTCTAGGTTCCCAATCACTCTGGGCTCTCCCCCTATGGCCTGGCGCGCCCATCCCAGATGAGAGAACCCGTGGGGCAGGAGCTTTGGGAGGGGGTCCCAGGGATGGTGGAAAGAGACTCAGAGGGCCACCTGGGGCTGCCATCCAAGGGCTCCGGGGGAACATCCCGGCGTGGGTGGTGGCCGCAGGGGCCGGGAAGAGTGACCATGGATGGGCTCGGTGGTGCCAAGGCCCAGCTCGTCCAGCGTTCCAAGGGCTCCTCTAGTGCCTCCTCACCCCTCCTGAGGGTCTACCTCCGGCCTCTCCTTACCCCAGGGGAGGTTGCCCAGGGCAGGCTGGGCTAAGGGGCTGCCCTCCTCTCCCCGGGAGGCTCGGTGGGGAGGTGGGAGTCCAGGACCCAGAGCTGTACCCTCATTCCCGTTCCCCACTGGGCAGAGGGGCGCGGGGAGGTCCCAGGGCAAAGGCCTCTAGAGTGGTTAGAGCTGTTCCCCCAGCTCATCAGCTTCTTGGGGCGAAGACCTCCTGGGAGACTGCTTGGTGACCCAGAGGGGAAGTGGGAGAGGGGAAGCGGGGACACTGTGGAGGCCAGGGCACCTCAGAGCCTTAGAGCTCTCAGAACCCAGCGTGGGGAGTCTCTGACCAGTGCCGAGACAGGGATACCACCAGGGGGCGCCTTCCAGGACCGGGAGCCTCACTTCAGGGTCCTGAAATCAAAGGAGAGTCACCACAGGCGATTTTTTTTTTTTTTTAAAGAACTTCCTAATCGCAGAGATCAGGCAGGTCTTTTACATTCGGTAGTGTTTACTGTTATACACACTATGGGACAGGGGGTTTTGGTTTGTTTTTTAAATATATTTTGATTGATTTCAGAGAAGAAGGGAGAGGGAGAGAGAAACATCCATGATGAGAGAGAATCATGGATTGGCTGCCTCATGCACATCCCCTACTGGGGATCTAGCCTGCAACCCAGGCATGTGCCATGACCGACTTCTGCGCATGGGCCACGAAGTTTCAATCGCACTGTACGTGGTATTTTGTGGAAGAGCCACACTCAAGGGGCCAAAGAGCCGCATGTGGCTCGCGAGCCGCAGTTTGCCGACCACTGTTTACTGTTAACACTATGGGACAGAGGTTTTTGGTTTGTTTTTAAAATATATTTTTATTGATTTCAGAGAAGAAGGGAGAGGGAGAGAGAAACATCAATGATGAGAGAGAATCATGGATTGGCTGCCTCATGCACATCCCCTACTGGGGATCGAGCCTGCAACCCAGGCATGTGCCCTGACCAGAAATCAAACCGTGACCTCCTGGTTCATATGTCAATGCTCAAACCGGCCGGGCTTGATTTTAAAAAACAAAACAGAATAGAAACCATCAAAGTGTGGTGCTTCAGATGTTCATATGTCAATGCTCAAACCAGCCGGGCTTGATTTTTAAAAATAAAACAGAATAGAAACCATCAAAGTGTGGTGCTTCAGATAAAGGACAGTTTTGTTTCAGGCATATATGATGGAAACTTGAATTTACATGGGCCATAGTTTTAAAACTTTAAAGACCATTGTGTAGAGTTCAGTCATACAGTGAACCCCCTTCGCTATTTGAATGGGCAAATCTGGGCAACTCTGCAAGGCCCAGTGAAGGACAGTCCGAGAACAGCCTGGCAGCCCATTAGCTCTCTCTGCTCCGCTCCCCCACCCCTTCCTTCCCAATCGGGGCCAGAGATTCATTTCAACACGTAAGGAATAAGAAATGGGTTGTGAGCTGTTTCAAGATTTCAGCTTTGGGGAGATGCAGGATGTAACTCTCACCTACTAACTAACCTGTTTACTGTGGGGGCCCACCATTCTGGGTCAAGAGTGGGGCACGCTGGCCCCCAAACACAGGAGCAACAGGCTGAGGTCAGAGGACAGCTTCTCTGGACCAGGAGACGTGGCAGGAGGCTGCGTGCACCCTGTCAGGGTGTTGAGGAGTAATCAGAAGGTGACCGGAGGCTGATTCTTCTACATGGCGGCCTGCTGCCAAGGGCTCTGCATTAATGCTGCGTGGCAGCCTGGGGGATGCACGTGAGCTGGTCCTGAGGTGGAAAGGGACTCAGAGAGAGGATCCACCCTGCCCGGCAGTGAGGGAGTCTTCCTTGGCCCCTTGAAGGCTGTTTTGGGATTCTGTAAGGCAGTGGTTCTCAACCTTCTGGCCCTTTAAATACACTTCCTCATGTTGTGACCCAACCATAAAATTATTTTCGTTGCTACTTCACAACTGTAATGTTGCTACTGTTATAAATCGTAATGTAAATATCTGGTATGCAGGATGGTCTTAGGCGACCCCTGTGAAAGGGTCGTTCGATCGCCAAAGGGGTCGTGATCCACAGGTTGAGAACCGCTGCTGTAAGATATTTATTTATTTTTGTTCTTAAAGAGAAACAGATTCCTCCTCTAGACTCCTGGGCCATCGTCACTTCCCCAGCTGACACCTCCATCTTTCAGGCCTTTCCCTTCATGCCAAGCTTCTGAGAGCCTAGAACAAGCATGTCAAGCTCGTGGCCCATGGGCCGCATGCCTCATTTATTTGGCCCATGTTAGCCTTTGAGTTTGACATGCTTGGCTTAGAAGGTGGGCTTAAAATTAGACCCAAGATGGGAGAGAACACAACACTTTGGGACTCAGTCTTCACCTTTCCATTCTCTCTCTTTCTGCCTTCTAGAAATCAATGGCTCCTGTTCTGCCTGTGGGGGGCTGATGGTGCCCCTCCTTCTCCCAGACAGGGTGGCCCCTCCCATTTCTGATAACCCTGCCCAGCCCTGGGACCACACCTCTGTCGTCACCTGCATCTCCCTGCCCCTCCCAGAAGCTCGGGGGACCTCTGAGCCAGATCCCTTGGAAGTCAGCCTGATGGACCCTTAGAACAAGCATGTCAAACTCGTGGCCCATGGGCCGCATGCCTCATTTATTTGGCCCATGTTAGCCTTTGAGTTTGACATGCTTGGCTTAGAAGGTGGGCTTAAAATTAGACCCAAGATGGAAGAGAACACAACACTTTGGGACTGAGTCTTCACCTTTCCATTCTCTCTCTTTCTGCCCTTCTAGAAATCAATGGCTCCTGCTCTGCCTGTGGGGGGCTGATGGTGCCCCTCCTTCTCCCAACACTTCCATTTTTCAGGCCTTTCCCTTCATGTCAAGCTTCTGAGAGCCTAGAACAAGCATGTCAAACTCGTGGCCCATGGGCCGCATGCCTCATTTATTTGGCCCATGTTAGCCTTTGAGTTTGACATGCTTGGCTTAGAAGGTGGGCTTAAAATTAGACCCAAGATGGAAGAGAACACAACACTTTGGGACTCAGTCTTCACCTTTCCATTCTCTCTCTTTCTGCCTTCTAGAAAAATCAATGGCCTGTTCTGCCTGTGGGGGGCTGATGGTGCCCCTCCTTCTCCCAGACAGGGTGGCCCCTCCCATTTCTGATAACCCTGCCCAGCCCTGGGACCACACCTCTGTCGTCACCTGCATCTCCCTGCCCCTCCCAGAAGCTCGGGGGACCTCTGAGCCAGATCCCTTGGAAGTCAGCCTGATGGACCCTTGTGCTGGCCGGGCTCCCAGCGTACCCCTCAAAGACAGCCTGAGCAACCTCAATCTGCCCCCACTGCTGGTTCTGCCCACACGGTGGCCCCCAATTCTAGGCCCAGAAGGGGACCAGCCTCCAGGTAGACTGCTGGGGGCTGAGCAGGCCCCCTGTGCCCCAGGTGGCTTCCAGTGCATCCATTGCCACAAGCTCTACCACACACTGGCTGGGTTGGCCAGGCACCGGCAGCTGCACTGCCACCTGCAGGCTCAGCGCTGCTTCACCTGCAAGTATTGTGACAAGGAGTACTCCAGCCTGGGGGCCCTCAAGATGCACATCCGCACGCACACACTGCCCTGCATTTGCGCCATCTGTGGCAAGGCCTTCTCCAGGCCCTGGCTGCTCCAGGGCCACATCCGGACCCACACAGGTAGGACAGCGACGGGTCCACAGAGGGATCTGGGTTGGGGTGGGAGTGGGACCTGGAGGTTAGAAAGAGGAGTGGGGCAATTTTATGGTCAAGAAGACGGACATTCTCACAGCTTTGGCTCTCCGGTGTATTGGTGTCTTGGGGCTGCAGAACAAAGTCCCACAATCTTGGGGGAGGGGCCTCAAAACATCATCAACGTCCCCTCCCACTGTCTGGAGGCCAGAAGCCCAAAGCCCACGTGTTCCAGGGTTGCCTCCCTCCAAAGGCTCTAGAGGAGAGCCCTTCCTGCCTCTTCCAGATCCTGGGGCTCCAGGCAGATCTTGGCTGTGGCCACATCACTCCAACCTCCTCTTCCGACCTCACGTGGCCTCTCCTCCCTGTGTGTCTGTGTCCAAATCTCCCTCTTGTCATAAGGACACCAGTCACACTGAATCAGGGCCCACAAACTGCAATGTGACCCCATCTTAACCTGATGACATCGGCAAAGCCCCTATTTCCAAATACCTGTTTAGGATGGGGATGACTCCTTTTTGGAGGACACAATTCAACCCATAACGCCCAGCAAAGCGTAGAATGCACGGCTTCAGCAGGACCTGATTTCTTACATTCCATGGCCTTCTAGAATTCTGGAACAGGAGAAAGGAGTGAGAAAGGCTTGGGCTGGGAGTAAGAACCTGGGGCATCACAGCCTATCTGAAGGGCAGAGACGACAGCTGGGACTTCACTTGGAATTTGGGGACCTGGAGCAAACCTGTCCATGGGTGAGAGGGTGGCCAGGAGCCCATAGGAAATGGAGAGAAGGGCAGTTGTGGAGATAAGACAAAGACAGAAACAGGAAGGAAAGGAACGTGGGCAGGGAGCGGAAGGAGACCTAAGAGCCTCAGCTTTTCATGCCGTAGATTACAATACACTGCCCAGAACGAGCGGAAGGGGCCTGCTCTGTACAGGGGCAGCCAGTGGCCGAGGTGGACCACAGCCTGCAGCTTCGCCTGAGCCCGAGACTTCGTCAGGCACACTGTGCAGAGTGGTGACAGGAGCAGAGACAGAGCTCCCAGAATAAGTCTTTGGTCCTGATCGCAGACCCCCAGTTGCAACACACACTTTCTGTAACCGGAGCCTCCCTAATCCTAAGTCAGGCCCCGTAACTAGAATCTTCTGAGTCACACCTGGTGGAGGCTGGAAAGGAGCCGTTTTCCTTGACCCTTCGCTGAGGATGGCACACATCTCAGAGGCTCGGTGCTCTTGTTCTGGGAGCCAGGAGGGTGGGAGTCCCCGCCGGAGGCTGGCTGGCTGGGAGTGTGCCCGGGTGTCGGGCAGTGGGGGGACTGCAGGCTGGTGGCGCTCAGGACTCTGTAGGGCTGCAGGACTGGAAGCTGCTCTTCACAAGCAGAGAACAGGTGACTCTCAACAACCCTTCCTTTTACACTTTTCAGAATCATCATAGGGGCCAAGGTCCCAACAGTAGGCCTGGAGGATACAGGATTTTAGCCCTTCCTAAATGCCTGCCTCCTGTGCAGGAGGGCTTACTCCTTCCAGCCCGCCTTCTGCGGCCACCTCGCTGGTCTCCACCACTGGCTTTCAGTGGGTGGCACAGCTGCCAGTAGGTGCTGTGCTTCTCACGTCCAGATCTGGGTGGCACAGGCCCCAGGAGGGCTCTGGCAGAAACAGAAAGATCTAGCAGCTGCGGGAGATGAGCAAAGAGCAGTGCTGGACCTTTGCTCTTCGGAAGGGTTAGGTATATCGTTCCGCCCAACCTCCAGCAGCCCCAACCTTAGGCGCTTGTGCGGCCTCTTGGCCTTAGTGTCTCCTCCTGGGTCAGGGGCTAAGGCTCCTTTCACTCTGCCCTAGAGCGGGGGGAGGGGGTGATGAAGATAAATGAATTGGAATTGAGTAAGCATTTGGAGTTACTCATTTATAAACAGAGGCACTGGAACCCTGGGGTGCCTTCCCAGGACACCCCAGATAGTCACTCATCTGCCTGCCCCTCTCCCTCCCCCAGGTGAGAAGCCTTATGCCTGCTCTCACTGCAGCAGGGCCTTTGCCGACCGCTCAAACCTCCGGGCGCACCTGCAGACACACTCTGACACCAAGAAATACCAGTGCAAGGGCTGCGCCAAGACCTTCTCCCGCATGTCGCTCCTGGTGAGGCATGAGGAGTCCGGCTGCTGCCCCGGTCCCTGAGAGGCATGGGTTTGGTGCTGTAGGAGGGACAAGACCTCACCCCAGGGACACCACGCTGGCCACCCTCTTGGCAGCCTCCTGCTGCCTGGTGTGCTCAGAGGAGCCAAGCAGACTGGGAGGGCAGGAGCTCAGCCTCCCACTCTCAGGCGCGTTCCCTGCCCACCACAGCCTGCATCTGTTCCGAGCCAGAGCAGCCCAGCGGGCCGTCAGGACGAGCGAGGGCCCGTGGAGGTCTCCTGCCCCACTCTGCCCACTCAGAGGGGACGACTTTCAACAAAACAAGAACCACTGTTTTGTTTTCCACCTGCTCTGGTTTCAGCTTCTGTTTCTCTAAGAGTGAAAGACTGTTGGGGGACTGTCGCCAGCATGGACAATGCCTGCCATTAAGTCGACGAATGGGGCTGCCTTTGGATCTCTCCGCAGCTCCACGTGAACAGTCTGACTTGTGCGAGCGCACTGCACAGTCCAGCCTGCATGGGCAGAGCTACCTCAAGGCTCACCTCCCTCTGCCTTTGGCTTGGGATCTGGGCCACGCACCCTCCCCATCTCACTAGGCTGTCCCTAAGGTGGAGCAGCACCAGGGGGACAGGCACCTAGGCCCCCATCCACATCGTGGGGCAATAAAGAGTCCATGTGCTCAGGCCTGTTATGTCCTCTGAGGTTCTGCGTGTTCCCGGTCCCCTGCGTCTGTGGAGGAGTCTGAGCTCTGAGAAGTTATCCAGAGGCAGCCGGATCCCTGGCCACAGAGGAGGAGAATAGGGATCGGCCTCGAGCTGTGATGTTGTTTAGGGACGGGGAGCGAGGCTGCAGGAGGCAGGGTGCAGGTGAGCAGTGGTTTCTTCTTCTGGAAGAAAGAGACGAGTGATGGAACAGTATCAAACTGTGGAATGACTGAGGGGCATGAGCTCGGGCTGGGGATGAGTGAGGGCTTGCAAGAGAAGTGTGAGGAAACCGAGGCCAGAGGAAAGGGCGGGGTGGGCTGTGAGCGCGGCATGGCTGGGCGCCATTTCCCCCACGGTCTAAGTTAGGAGGGAGAACCTCGCTGTATGTGCACACCTCTCCGCAGTCACCACAGGATGTCTTCACTGTGCCACCTCACCAAGGGGCCGTGTCTCCAAGCCTGCCGACTACTGTCACCTTTGTTCTGCACACCCTCTCTTGAGGCTGCAGGCATCTGTGACCTGAGTGAGTGCTTGCAAGAGAAGTGTGAGGAAACCGAGGCCAGAGGAAAGGGCGGGGTGGGCTGTGAGCGCGGCATGGCTGGGCGCCATTTCCCCCACGGTCTAAGTTAGTGCTGTATGTGCACACCTCTCCGCGGTCACCACAGGATGTCTTCACTGTGCCACCTCACCAAGGGGCCGTGTCTCCACGCTGCCCACAGTACTGTCACCTTTGTTCTGCACACCCTCTCTTGAGGCTGCAGGCATCTGTGACCTGAGTGAGTGGCCCAGACCTTTGACCCCGCCCTGGACATACAAACCTTCCCAAACTGACTCAGATGCCAACACATAAGAACCTCCTCTTCCCGCCCAGTGTCCTGCACCCACTGCCCCAGCATGGCGGCGTCATTGCCTTCTCATAGGTGGACTCCTCTCACCCCCAGGCCTCCGGGTGGTCACCTGTTGGGCTGGTCCTGCCTCCTGCCAGCGTGTCTTAACCATCTCCAGCAGGACCTGGAGGGAAGGTGGCACCCAGGACCAAAGAAGGAGGCCTGAGAGTCAGGGACACTGACTGCCCTTGCTGCTGGGAGGCACACCTGCTCCTCTCTGCAGGAAGGACAGCCCGCTGCCCCAGCCAAGGGAGAGCTAGGCCCTTGGTCCTGGGCCTGGAATGGAGCCGCACAGCACGTGCAGAGGCCCCCCTCTCAGCCCGGAGCCACCAGACCTGCTGAGCCTCCTCTGCGTGGGAGAACATTCAGGAGCTTTTCCAGGACCACACTAGGTGCCAAGTATCTTACTCTGCAGCCACCTCTGCTGCAGTCCCAGCCCTGATGGCCCCCACCACAGGTTCCACCTGATGCTCCTCAGGGATGAAGGACCCTGGATGGTTGGTTTGATGATGGCCATTGGAGGGGGCTTGGGTCATCCCAGAGGAAACTTGACCTTGGTCTTGGGCTTCTTTGGACCACGGTGACCTTGATGAAGCAGACCACCCAGGGGAGCCCCTACCTGGCCTACACCAGACTGTCTCAGCCAGTGGACTGAAGATGTTTCTGAGACTGGGAATGTCCCATTTAGCTAATGCATCCGTTTGCTGTGGCTGCTGTAAGAAAGTCCCACATGCTGGGCAGCTTAAACAACAGAAATTAATGTTCCCACAGTCCTGGAGGCCAGAAGTCTGAGTCAGGGTGTCAGCAGAGCTGGTTCCTTCTGGCGCTGAGGAGACTGCCCAGGCCTCTCCCAGGCCTGCTGATCTGCTGACACTCTTTGCTGTTCCTTGGTTTGTAGAGCATCACCCCATCTCTGCCTCCATCTTCACATGGTGTTCTCCCTGCCTGCGTCTGTGTCCAAATTTCCTCTTTTTATAAGAAAACCAGACATATTGGGTTAGGATCCACCCTGGAATGGTCTCATCTTGACTACATCTGCAATGACCTTATTTCCACATTCTGAAGTACTGGGGGTTAAGATCTCAACATATAAATTGAGGGGACACCATTCATACCCCAACAGCTGATAACACACGGTTTGCCAAGAGATGCCAGGTGGGTCCTGTGCTTGGGCTTAAGGCAAGGAGAGCCGAATCCTAATCTCCAGTCCACAAAAAACCGAGGGGCAGGGGGACTCTTACTGCCAGAGTTACTAGAAACACCTCCTCTGAAGGTTTGTGTTCCCCTGCTCAGTATCTGGCCCCTCTCTAGTGTCTGTGTCTGTCCCCCTCCTCCTCTCCACCATCCTGTCAGGGAGCCCTGTAGGGCTGAGAACAGGCCTGTGTCCCAACAGGATGATCCTGCCCCCAAAATGTCTCTTGAGGCGCCTGGCCCTTCTGCCTCTCCCCAAGCCTGGCAAAGGTGAAAGTTCCAGCCAGTGTTTGTGCTGTGCCTGGCCAGCTCACAGGAGGCTTTTAAAAAAATAGCATCCAGATGCCTGAAGGAAGCTATATTGTAAATTGTGTTCTATTTCTGGGCTCCAATATCTAAATGAGGCGATGCACCTGTTGGGTATGAAGGGAGGGAATTTCACAGGCCTAAAATAAAGTTGAATGTTGCCCTCTGTGCCGGCCCATGGAAAATGCTCTTATATTTATATCTGGACTGGTGTAGGGCAGGGCAGTGGAGCACCGGTTGGCAGAGGGGTGAGGAAAGGCCCGGGCACCTGCCAGGAAACTGACACAGAATGAATGGGGGGACGTCCCACTCAAAGCTACACGGCTACAGTCATACCTCGAGGCCACCACGTCTCCCACCAGCCACGCTGCCTGTGGCAACCTTGGGCTCACAGCTTCCACCCTGCCCCTCTCCCCTGATCATTAGAATTAGTTCAGAAGCCCATTTAACATTTGGGTTTCTGGAGCCCCCTCTCCACACCTATAGAATGAGAATCAGAAAAGGGTCTCAGTCTTCACATCCATAAGCGACACACTCAGGGGGCAGACTCAGTGAGCACCAAAGCCTCACTGAAGCAAGTCCTGCTCCATAAGGGTGTCTCGTCTCCAGCACAGCAGTTCTCCCCTTGTAGACACAGCTGGTGCTCACAGCCAATTTTCCTGGTGGTCAATTCCTCCCAGTGATACCATCAGCAATCAAGACTTAACTACAACAAGACTGTGCACACAGCCCACAAAGGGGTGCACCAAGAGTGTCCACCTCAGGTAATTAGGGAGGCTGAGCCATTGGGCCCTATAGGACACCTAGCACAGAAAGCCACTCTACCAACACAGGAAAGCAGCCAAAACGCGGAGAAAAAGAAACAGGTCACAAATGAAAGAAATGGAGAAAAGCAAACTACTGGATATAGAGTTCAAAACCACAGTTATAAGGTTACTCAAGAATCTTCTAGAAACCGCTGATAAATTTAGTGAGACCCTCAAGGATATGAAAAAGGACCAATTAGAAATTAAGCATACACTGACTGAAATAAAGAATAATATACAGAGATCCAACAGCAGACTAGAGGA